ACTTCTTTTTTACTACTTTTCACTGTGAAGTTAATCAAGTCGTAAGCAAATAAAATTTTATTAGTTATGATTATCATGTTTCCTTTCTTAGCTAGCTACAAATTTAAACTCATATAGCATCAATTTATGGATGATTTTTTTTTTCTTTTTTTTTTTTTGCATTATTAATGAAACAATTTGCTTGAATATGAGATTTTTTATCTTTATATCAACCATATGCATGTTACATAAATCAAGAGTTAAGTTGATTCATCATAAAGTAACCTGATATTAACTAGGCATATGTTCTCTTCATCATACTACTGCACACAAACTCTTCAGATTAAAATAAAATAAAAAGGGAAAAAATCGCCATAAGGTAGCGATCCAAGTCACGTTGCAAACCTGAGTTGTGGGTGGAATGTCTCATCCTTATTTGGTCGCCATAGGGTATAATTGGTGTTAATTTATATTAAAAAATTAAAAAACAATCAAAATTCATATTTTTTTTCATTCTCTACAAATATAAATCACATTGATATAGCTTGGAATACAATTTCAAATTCTCTCGTTTCACTCCTTAAAAAAAGTCTTCCTTATTCCAATTATGTAATTTCAAATTTTAATTGATCTCGTATTTTTTTTCAATTGTATGGTAAAATATATGTTTTTCTAAAATCATTATAACTTTAATTATAGACTTAATCATTACGCCCTTCCATTTTGTAATGTCTCTGATTTCGTTTTGTGTAATGATAATTTTGATTTGTATGACCATATCTAAAGATCCATGACGCCCTACCATTGTGTACATTTATAATAATCACACCTCCTTAATAATAACTAGTAGTCGTTATTGTGCACGTGCACATATATAAATAAAGTATATTAAATTATAAATTAGACAATTGAAATATCAAATTTTACATATTTTTTAATTAGTAAATGAACAGTATAATATAAACTATTTAATTATACATGAATCATTATTATTGATTGCATGATGTAATAGATAATGTAATTTGTAATTTTGATGCATCATATTTAATTAATTAGCTATAAAAATACTTAATTTTTAATATTGTTTCTGTTTTTTTTGTTGTGGTCGTTGTCGTTGTCGTTGTTGTTGCTTACGCGATTTGGAGGGGTTTATCGCAATGCATTAAAAACAATTAGCTATTTTCTTAAAATGATTGCTTTGACATGAAATAAAAAATTGATTTTGGAATAATAACTTGATAAAAAAATTAAAAATATTATTTTATACTTACGCAACTTTCATATCCCATTTAGTATGAACTCTAATTAAATGATTTTTCTTAATATACCATTTAGTATGAATTATAATTAAATAATTTTTTTTAATAATGTTTATATGATAGGGTACTTAATAAAATATAATTATATTTCATTAATATAAAATATAATGGTTTTATCTTAATTAATTAGATAATCTTCAATCAATTATATATATAGGGATTGTGATCTTAATGATTACATTGTGACGTATATTACTTATAAAAAAAAATTGTACTACTACCTTAAATCAAAATCCTATACTAATAACATTAATATTATCAAAATCCTATACTAATAACATTAATATTATCAAGCAATTATACTAAATTTTCTAATCCTATATTAATAAATTTTCTAGGAAAACTTGTATACTAAATGTTATTGACTTATATTGGTTACTAATATAATTCTAAATAAATTTTTTGAAATAGCAATATCATATAAAATAAAATAAATACCAAATTAATATTATATCAACTATTAATATTATATCACATCAAGTATATACTAAACTAATATGACTTATAGATTACAATATATAAGTTCTTATTATAAAGGATAAGATATTTTATAAACTATTATCGGCTATGATTATTACTAAAAAATATAGTAAATTTATTCGTGGCATATTTAATCAAACATTCTATAATGTTATTTTATAATATTGTAAAATGATATTTGACTTCTTAAAATAATTTCTTCAAGAAGGTTGAATATATATTATATTAAATCATATGTTATATCACATAATTAATAGTAAAAAAAAACAAACAAAACAGTTGATAGCAAAAATCTGATAATAATATATATACTAAACACCAAATGCTGGACATGCAGTACTCGACCAGCAACATCTCATCTTCAGGTTGAATAAGCTTTTCGGCATCAAAACCAAATAGAATGAGGCTACAGTAGGAATAAATCGAGTACATTGTGTCCTTTTGAACAACAATATTATCGCCGTTGGTGCAGTTGATGTAGGCTTTTATTTCTAAACCAACCTCTCATACTGATACACACCATGATGATGTGCAATCGTGTTAAAATCTACATATTAAGTGGAGGTTCAAGATATATATATCTACATTTATAACACAGTATCAGATACTAGTCCATATAATTTATATTAATTATCTACATTTACTTAATATCTACATTTATATTAGTTCACATTTTTTCACTAGGATATATTTTGATCTAAGAAGTTGTACAAATCAATCTTCTTTTGTAATTGGGTTTCGACTAAAATAAAGAAGAGGAAAGAGTGAACCAAAAAATTGAGGAACAAAAAACAAAAGGCGGATAAATAAACATGTTATTATGGCATTATTATATTTCTCTGACGAGTCTGAGAAGGGGCTATTGCCTCTTCTCCTGAAGTTATTGGGAAGTGATTTTTATCAAAATTCCTTTCATATTAACCACCAAACTTAAAATATATCAAATGGTCATTTAAGTCTAGAAGTCTATTTCAAAAGTTTTTCAAAACACGCATAATTAGTACATTCATACCCATAGCAATCATATTATTATTCCATTAAATATACTATTCATATCCATAACAATCAAATTATTATGTCATTAAATATTCTAGAAAAATACTGTATACCACATGGATACTTGAAATTTCATTTTTTTTAGAGCCAAAGAAAAGTAAAATTATTTGTATGTGTGCTTTTAATTTATAGACAATAAACTATAGAAAACTAATAAAGTAATAATTATTTAAATAACACTCATTTTTTGCTGTTCGGTTTTCAATTTTTTCTCAATGGAAGAAATAAATAATAATAATAATAATAAAATAAAAACGATCTGAAACCCACATCCATTTTTAGCAGCTTTTTCCTCATTGGAAGAATAACGAAAATATAAAATAACTCAAAAAGGAAAAATGGAAATGGTCCCTTGAAAACACAGAATAACTCAAGAAATAAAAAGAAAGAAAGAAAATGGAAATCGATTCAATTTGATGAACTTTGCATTTTTTATGGAGTAACAAGCTTTGTATTATAATTCATGCAATGTAAATCTCTATGACCTGGAACTAATTTTTCTAATATACAAGCATGATCAACGAATTTGGTGAAAATTGATTTATGTGTAAGGTTTTAACTTTTTGTGTTGTTTACATAAGAAAATATTTCAAAGGTATAATATTACAAATTCCCTTTTCAGCCAAGAGGACTCTCTAAGCTAAGGTGATTTCATGAGAGCCCATCTAAACACTATTGTATCTGAAAAATGTTAGTTTCATCCTCGCTATTAAATAAAATAAATTCCAAATTAATATCATCGGTATTAAATAAAATAAATATCAAATAAATATTATATCAATTATTACTATCATATCACATCAAGTACATACTAAATTAATATGACATAGATTATAATACATAAGTGGATAATATATTTCATTAAGTTAATATGACTTATAAATTATAATATATAAGTTCTTATTATAAAGGATAAGGCATTTCACAAAATATTATTGGCTATGATTTTTACTACAAAATATAGTAAATTTATTTGTGGCATATTTAATCAAACATTCTATAATGCTACTTTTATAATATTATAAAATAATATTTGACTTTATAGAATAATTTCTTCAAGAAGGTTGAATATATATTATATTTAATAATATGTTATATCACATAATTAATAGTAAAAAATCATATCAACAAGATTGAATATATATTATATTAAATCATAAATTATATCACAGATATAATAGTAAAAATTAAAAAAAAGAAAAACTATAGAATAAAATAGCCGAATTTATGGCCGCAACCGAGCAATCAGGGTTGGCCGCAACCGAGCAATAAAGAAGAGGAAAGAGTGAAACTAAAAATTGGGGAACAAAAAACAAAAGGCGGTAAATGATTTATTCAATGGAGTCTGAAAAGTGGCTAATTCCCTCTTCTCCTGAAATTATTGGGAGGTCATTTTTATCAAAGTTCCTATCATATTAACCACCAAACTTAAAAACATATCAAATGGTCATTAAGTCTAGAAGTCCGTTTCAAAAGTTTTTCAAAATACGCATAATTAGTACATTCATACCCGTAACAATCATATTATTATTCCATTAAATATACTAGTAAAATACCGTATACCACGTGATACTTGAAAATTTCAATTTTACAGCAAAAAAAAAAGTGTAATAATTTTTATTTGTACTTTGAATTTATAGACAATAAACTATAAAAACTAACACAGTAATAATTGCTTAAATGGCACTCTTTTTTTGTTGCTCGGTTATCTATTTTTTCTCNAACATCTATTTTTTGCAACTTTTTTCTCATTGGAAGAATAACAAAAATATAGAAAAACTCAAAAAGGAAAAATGGAAATGATCCCTTAAAAACACAGAATAACTCTAAAAAATAAACAGAAAGAAAAAAAATAGGAAATAGATTCAATTCGATATTTATGCACCTTGTGCAATTCGTCTCTACATCTCTCACAAGCCTGTTTTTTATTATTATTTTTTTATTTATTTATTTTTTTTCGCTTCAGAATTTACACCGCACATTGCTTACCTAATAAGTGGTAATTTAATCTATCTTTAATTTTACTCCTATCAAAATTCCAAAAGTCCCTCCCAAAGAAATATTGCATTTTACCTCTAGAACCTCCACATTTCTTCCTTGAGTTCCCTCTCTAGCTTCCTACTTTGAAAAGAACTATAAGACATCAAACAAAGCAGCACAGCCGAATAAACGAGCACCCACACCAGAAAGCCATTAAAACATGATGTTATACACGTACAAAATCCAAAATGCTCCATGCATCTAATTCCAGGACTATAGGTGTACCATAAAAACAAATAATAATGAAAAATCAAATTCGAAACATGAGGCTACTTTTACTGGTATCGTGACATTTACTCCATGAAGGAGGCAAAACAATAAAAACATAGTACCCCAGATAACAAAAGTATAAAGCACCTGCATAAATTGGCCCAAGGGAAATAGATTGTGAGCAGAATTCTCTTCTCTCTTCACTGCTCAGAGGTATCAAATAACGCATTTCTCCTCAAACATGAACCAACCTATAGGGAACAACTTCCCTAGACGTAAAGAATGTACAAAACACATTCAATCTCCAGTTGTCGTGAATCAAGCCAAGTATTTGAACAGGTTAGGGTTTTCCTTGTCCCTCTCCAAATAGTCACGGGTTATCAAATCCTCAATCCTCTTCTTAATAGCTTTAACATCGGGCTACAGGAGTAGGTCATATTTCAGCATATATTCGCATAAGCATGGTAAAGTGCACGAAAACAAAAAAAAAAATATACATCCCAAAACTTAATGGCGAAAATGTATTTTAAGTCCTAATTGATTTAGAGCCATAGCAATTTTAGTCCAAATGTTCCAACTTTTCGTCTTTTGGTCCAGTGATTTAATATTTTGCTGCAATTTCAGTCTTTTGAGGACTGAAATTGCAATAAAATTTTAAATTACATGACTTAAATTGCTAATCGAAAATTAGTAAAATTCAGAATTTGTTGCAAATTATTAAATCACATGACCGAAAGATTTGAACCTTGGGACTAAAATTACTATGACGTTAAACCAGCAGGATTAAAAATGCAATTGTGCCAAAGTTAATATTACCTTGAACATACGGCCCAATTGTTCCATGCACTCAGCAACTAACTGCTGGTAGCCTAAGACTTTCCTACTCTTCATGATACGCACTATAGAGGCATCAATGGCATAACGCCTGTCTTTGTCAACATCCTCTATTACCTTCTTTTTCTCATCCACTGGGGGCAATGGGATCTAAACGTGTAATCCAATAAGTTAATAAGTGAATTAGCACTTTCTCACATACAGCCATAGAACAAATACCTTAAAGAACAAAAAGGAAATGTAAAGGGGGCATTGCAAGTAAATTGGAAAAGAGATAAGAGGCAAGAGTGATGATACATACCCTTATCCTTCTCATCTTGTCAGTGAACTTGGAATTGAATTCAAAAACATCAGTTGGAGAAATTGTTCGGGTGCTGGGCTCCTTGTTCAGAATCTTGTGCTTGGCACATGAAAGAGAGTGCAGCAGACGGATGACATCATCATCGGGTAAGTTCAACTGAGACATGATTTCCTGATAGCTTAATTTGTCCGAGGTGTTGAACAGCATCAATACAGCAGCCTGGAAAAACAGAATTTAATAGCTAAGACCATTAAGAACAGCTATAGAGATCAAGGCTTTTTATATGAGATAAACATTACCTGATAGGTGGACACATTCAGCTCTATTGTTTTCTGGTCAAATTTTCCATTGACAATACAAGTTCCCAAAGAATATATGAACGTAAGCTTTCTGTGCTTTGTTTTTGTCTGGTAGAACTCCCTAAATACCTCAACACACTTAACCTGAAATGAAAATTTCAAAGAAATATGGAGAAAATAAAATATTCAGTGATATGATTGCTACTGAAACAAAACAGTAATTTCCCAAAGTACAAGCATTATATATACCATCTCAGCAGATAGGTTAAGGTCATAAGTCTTGTAAGTTGGCCAGAATCCCGTGGTGAGGACAGTCACTGTCAAGTCAAAGCCTGGACTAGCATGTGGATTATTGCTGAGATAATCCTCAAAGCTTACTTGATTTTCCCTAGCTAGTGCCAAATCTGTGACCTGCAATATTTGAAGCAGATGAGCAATCAACATTGCAGTACAAGATAGTCACCAAGAATCAGGCTCACCATTCCCTCCATTTTTGAGGTAAACTGGGCACCACATTGCTGCTTCAATTTTGTCAGGATACTTCTTTCATGTTCGTCATTAGCACTTTTATCAAATAACAGGCGGCGTGAAAGCTTCTTCCTGCCAAAACAAAACACCAGTAAAAGCATTACGCAGAGGCTAATGATATAACATAAAAGCAAGTAAGCAAATCACCAAATAGGGAACTCACCTGTAAAATTCGGCAAATAAATCCTTGTCGCTGATGTAAGCGAGAAGCTTAACTACCTGAAATAATGTTTCGATCATATTATTTAAACATGTTACAGTCAAAAAGTATAAATGCAGACTGCAATGCCAAAAGAAAATACCTTCTCCAGAGTGTCTTCAATAGCTTCATCACTCAATTTTTCGCTTCCACCCTTCTTAAGAATGTTATCGCAAAACGTCGCAAGAAGATCGGCACTGGAATTTCCAGCAACACCCTTGTTGCAGAAGATTTCAAAAGCTTCCTTAAGAGCCTGTGTAAATAGGTGAAGAAAATTGGCACATCACTTTCTACTGGAGCAGACAAAAAAGTTAAAAAAGAGAACACTAAGCCAAAGATAGTCTCCTAACCTTGTGAAATAGAGTGTGATTTACGAAGCAGTCGTTTACATATGCTATATATTTGTCATGGAGCTCAATAACTTTCCTCACAAATACCTGGCAGTTAAAACATGAATTAAGTCCAATATGTGAAACCATATTCAATAAAAGAAAAAGCTAATATGATACCTGCTCCTGTAACCCGATGACATCTTTCTTTTCAGCCTGCACAAGAAGCCTCTTCATGTTAACGAAACAAAGAATGAACCAAAATACTGACAGAAAGTGTTAATATGATATTCCATGGCTAATTTTATCCAAAATTTTCAATGTGCTGTCCACCATGGCAATGCTTTGCCATATTTAATCATTAGTATCACGTGTTCTTAACTGCATAAATGAAGAGGATTTTTTTTTTTGTTTTTTTTGTTTTTTTTTTGTTTTTTGAGTGGATATAAGAACTAAGAAATTATTTTCTTTACAATTGTAAAAATCTAAATCTCCCAAAATAAGAAGTTATGACAAATGCTATACATCATTCTACAGCTCCTCAATGGATCTAACGTGTCAAGAGAAGAAAGTTCCTCACATAATCACAGAAAATTTCTGGATAAGTGAAAAACGAATATTTCAAACCACACAGTTGAGGTGGTTACCACTTCCTTCAACTTTTCAAGGCACAACTTAAATTGTCGGAAACCTAATTCTATTCATAATCTTTCACTATATTCAACATAGCAATCCATAACCAAATAAAAGATGAGAACAATCACAACACTTCTACAAAGCTGTACTTGCGCTAGTTGCTAAACTGAAGTACATGCAAAGAGAACAAAAGATCAACTAAACAATAAATATTATTTATGTCAACAAACCTTCTTGTTACTCGCAGCATCTTCCGCTAGTTTAACCAAGTCAGTACCTTCACCAGTAACATGCTGTGTGTGGGAAACCATTATACATTAGCATTTAAATATCCATATTAAACTTGGAAAATCGGCATAGCATATAATTCCTGATCAGGAACTCAGGTCAAGAGAAAGCAAAATCATCACGGACCTGCTTAAATATATTGGCAACTGGCTCTAAACCTTTGGGCACTTTAGAAAAGAGCCTATACATCCTCGACAAATCCTCCACCTATCGCATGAAAAATTACACGAATTTAGATTGAAAAACCTACAAATTCATAAACATCATTGATTTGAATGTTTATATACCTTGTCATCTTTAAGTAATGCATGACAACCAGAGTGCTCCTTCTCTAACAGTTGGGTGGCATGCACCGTCAACAATTCATGTTGTACTTTCTATCAAAAAATAAAACAAAGGATCAAGGCTTACACATATGAAATAAACATATTCAATCTACAGTCATTACTCGGGGGATCATCCAGATCCGATAATCTGAGAGTAAGAACTGACCTCAAGCAGCTTTGTCTCACTACTAGAGTGAAGATAATGAGAAACCCTGTCCTTTTCACGTTTCAAACACTCCTCAGCCTGGATGTTTCAAATAGATAATCAGAAACCACAATTTAAAAAAAAATCCATGGTAAAGGGACTTTAGCGAGTTTTCTTATTCATCGTGTTATGTTTCCAAAATATGTTAACGCTGCACGAGAGAAACATACTTTCGACATATAGTCAGGACATGAATCATCTAGGATCCACTTAGAAGCCTTCCGTGAATAGTAAGCTGCCGTACCATTCAACATTGCTTCTTCAAAGTCATTCTCATAATAAACCATCTGCCCCATACCAATTTCAACAAAAATATCCAACACATTCTTCAAAAGAGCTCGATCTATCAGCTCTCCTTCCCTCTCTTGATCAATCTAATCGGAACAAACAAATTAGAATCTCAAAATGAGGTATAAAACAGAAAGGTATTAGAGAACAATGATACCAACATACCAACGATATAACAGCATCCCTAGCTTTGCTGTTTAGCTCTTGATATACCTGAAATGAAAAGCCAGGTTGCAATTATAAAAAATTGTGAGCTGGGAAAATCTGATCACATTTCGGTTGGTTGCAATTATAAAGTTTACAGAAGGCGAATGAGGGTAGAAAAAACAAGATATCCAGCTCGATGTAGTTAAAGATTACCAGCTCTCGGAAGCAAGTCAGACCAACTTCATAAAGAGCTGGAAGTGACCTCCTAGCAATGAAGTACCGATCAAGATAATGAAAGAATCTTGAAAGCCACCGCACCATGACTTTATGATTCTGCCATCTTTTCACAAGCTCCCTCAACATATATTCACCATGCTTCTCCTTTAAAGAAGGTAGAACCTTCATGAACAATATAGTCAAAACGACACAACATTAGGAACCTAAAAAATATTAATTAGACAAATAAACCATGATAACAGAATGCGAAACTTTGACTTGCTACAAATTTATGTAAGGGAATACTAGAATCCTAATTTTGGCTACAATAGGGCAGAAACTGCAAATTTAGTTTGGATTAAGCACCCAGAAAAATATTCCATGAGTGCAATTTTTTTTCCAACATACCACCAATGAACAAATAATTTGCATTATATACTTACTGTTGATGTAATGTATTCTTCAAAAGACTCCCGATACTTATCATACAATTGCTGAGAATAATCATGTGGGGGCTTTTGGGTACACATGTTGTATATTGTCCTGAAAATATAAATCAAGGCAACTTTTAAATAACTGGAGAAAGCAAAGCAGATATCAAAATAACACATCGATTATGTAGATTAATAAAATATTACGTGTAAAGCATCATGTAGTCCTCTGAATTGAACTGTGGTTCAGGCAGTCCTTCCAGAATATTTTTCAGTTTCGTAATCCCCTTTTGCATAAAATCCCATCCTTGTTCTAAATCAATGGTGTTCCTTGGATTCATTGTTATGACACGAGCCTGGAAGAATTAATAGAGCCCCAACTTGTCCAGTTAAAACCTTTAACCCACAAACAAACATAAAAGCAAGTAAAAATATGAGATGACATTGAATATTGCTAATCACCATGTATGACCAAAATGAATTGTCATATGAGGCACAGGTCCAGGATCAAGTAATAATTTTGTTCAAGCTCATTTAGTTATAGGCTCACAGTAAACAAGGAATACAAGAACTAAAATAACAAACAACTTTCATAAACAATGACTACTATATCATGTGTACTATTTTTCCACTTTTCAATGAGAAAGCGTATCTACAAAAGCATCCTTAGAATCCATAAGACAGAAAACAGAAACTAAGTATCTATAGTTCACATGCACTACAAATTAAAGTTCTACAGATTCATCTAGGACCAACTCTCTCAAGAAATACTGACCAGAAACACATGAAACATATCCAAATATTTTCCAACTAAATAATAATTAACCAAACAATTAAATTCAACAGAACACTGACAACAGATCCTTGAATATTGGTATGTACCAAATCTTCTAAGATACGAGAATGTTAAACACAGATTCGTACTAATTAACAACTTATACAACCAGATAGTGGTATAGAAATCGACAATTCAAAACTCAATCATTCTACTATATAATATCGAGTCCAATAAAAGGTAAAGACAGAATCATCAAATAATCTACATAAGAATCCTAAAACGTATAATTCCAAAACAAAACCCTAAAATGGAGCATGAATTTCGGGCAACATAACCTTAAACTGACCAAACCCTCAAGTCCGACTCAGAATCAAATCGAAAACTGAAAAGAGAAAAATAAAATAAAAAAGCATCGCCATCAATAATCAATTCAGTAACAATTATATCAACAACGATCGGGCAGAACGACACTCTGCACACATTCTTACCTATTAAACCAACATACGAAAACAGAACGACGAAAGAAAAAACGCACTATAGACGCGAACAGAGTGTATACATAGAGAAAGGGAGAACAAGGGTTCTTGATGCAGGAGACCCAGTGGAAGAGATGTCTCTTCCGGATTTTGCTTCCCTTCTCTATTTTTTAAGCCTTTTGTTTCCTTTTTAATAATGTTATAATAATATAATAAATAAATAATAAAATTTGGTTAGGATAAAAATCATTTTTCACCCAAAATATATCGCGTTTCGCATATATTTTGTTCCGACTTCTTTAGTTCCAACTTGAAAAATTATCTTTAGTTCCAACTTAATACAAGATCCAAAATATGGGTAACCTATCAAATTGGGCCATGAAATTTTATTTTTTTTTTCTCAATTAAGTCACAGAATTAACNAAAACTTCAAATTAACTCCCAATTTAATGGCGTTATGGGTTTTGTTAATACTAAGACTTAATTTGATTATTTTATAACATTTAGGTTTCGAATTGGGAAAAAAAATCTTTTAAGCCCCGATTTGATAGTTTACCTATCTTTCAGGCCTTGTATTGATAAAACTCCTACATTTAATTACCTTAAACCCGTGACCTCAATCACATTTGGATTTGGTACATTGTATTGTATCGAGAGAGAATTGCAAATTTGGACTAAGATTGAGCCTATTGCAAAATTGGTCTTAGACATTGCAAAATCAGTATGTTTTGAAATTTTGTTGTGGATTTGATCCCGACCTCGTTACTTCTTAGGTTGAAAAAAGAGAAAATTGCAAATTTAATCTCACATGATTGATCGTATTGCAAGTTTGATCCCCAAATTTTATAAAAATGGTCTTTTACTATTTTTTTTTTAATGTCATGAGTACATAACAATTTTGATAGTAAAAATTTAGTTTTTAGACAAAAAAAAAAGTTCGTGTACATCATTACACAGGAAAATGCAAAAAATAAAAAATTCGTAAATAATGGCACATAATGCCCCTAATACTTTCTTTCACCACAATACATCATCAATTTATGTATATACCAAACTCTGATATTAAATATTTAGTTTTGATACGAAAAAAAGGACCAAATATTTGCATACAGCTTTACTAGTGCGTATCTCGTGCGATGCATGGGTAAACAATATTAAACAATAATTATAAATTAAAGATGGGGTTAAATAATATTAACTAATAATTATAAATTAAAGATGTGGAGTTAATATGTGATATATTTTATCGTATATGAGTTGTAAAAATTATAAAATTACCTTGTATAAAAGAATTTACAAAAATATATGTTTAAAATATTAAAAACACCTAAAATATTATAATGTAGGTAAAAGTATCTAAAATTTTATATATCATTATTGAAATACTTGAAGTCACCTAAGATTTTTCTAAACTGTTTTGTAAGAAAATATGTCTAAAACTATTTAAAAATATGTGAAGTCACCTAAAACTTTTTAAATTAATTTTTCAAGGAAACATGTCTAAAAATGTTTAAATTTAACATATGTATATGCAAGTCTGTGAACATGTCAGGTAACAGATCAGGTCGTGTGAATCGGGTCATGTCAAGTAACAGATCAGGTATGACAATCCAAACTCTACGAACATTTTGCAAGTCTATTATGATTAGTTGATGAATTAAGTAATTGTCTATGTTGCACTACGGGAGACTTTGATTATAAAACAATAAAGACCGCCTACTAATGATCCATCGCAAATTATTTTTTTGTCAAACCTAATAACAACTTTGTTATCAAATGATGCAGAAAAATCAATTGCTACAAGTTTAGAAACTGAAATCAAATTCTTTCTAACCCCGAGAACATAAAGGCAGTTGTTCAAAACCAAAGTTCTGTCTAAGCCAAAACATAGATGAACGTCTCGCACTGCGACAACAGATGCCTTAGTGGCATTGCCCATGAAGACAGGGATTTCTCCTTCTCTTAGTCGCTTAGTTTCTTGGAAATCATGCAACGAGTTGCAGACATGATCAGTGGCACCCGTATCCACACACTAGGCACTGGTGGATATCACTGCTAAACATGTTTCTACGACTAGTGATAGAGACTTATCACTTTCGTCCTGCTTGAGAAAATGGCTGTTGGCCATCTAGTGTCCTTGCTGCATGCTCCGGGCGCCCTTGCCTTTCGGCTCGTGCATCTGAGCAGCTCACACCCTTTCCAAGTTCTTTTTCCAGTCAGTTAATTCGGGATAAGTAATTTTGTTCCCTTTAAGAATTACAGACAAGGGGTTGAATGACATTTTGACACCCTCAGATCACGAAAATAAATTTTACTTAGTCAAATATTGATCCCTTAACAACAATATTTGCTAAATTCACCAACACCTCACAACACCGATCCATCTTAAACTCATTTCGGAGACGTCATCAACCCGGACTCTCATGGGATACGGTGACCGTAAACAATATTGACAACACATCATGCAGACGACATTACTTATCAAAGTATCAAGTATTTCGACCTACCAGAATATGTATCACTGTGGATAAATCAAATAAGTTAGTGTCGATGTAACGCCCCAAACGATTTTAAAAGAAACTCTATGTCCTTTTCAAAAATCGCAGTCAAATTTTTCGAAATTCATTTTTCGATTCATAAATAATTTGGCGTTACTCATCCATTTCAAAACATAGTTCAAGTCATGTCTGAACTAACGGGGATTCATTACCCGATTTTTCAAAGGTTTTCATTAACCGTATTCTCAACCACAAATAAATAAACATAAACGTCATGACATTCTTATCCACATACTCAGAATATCATAGAAATGTTTTTGAATATAAACCACACCAACGGTTTTCATAATAACCAGTTCAACATATTCAACAATTTAACCAGCATGTTCAAATAACCCAAACACGAGGTTCATAAATGCTGAAGCAATTAATAATAAATAACACTATAGACCACCCACTCGCCTTGCCTCGTCACGCGCCAACTGCTTAACCTGCATCCGTGAAGAACAGGTGGGAGTGAGTATAGTTAAATATCGTACTCACACTATGCAATGCACATTTTATAATATGTTAAATAGGCATGGTCGCAGCATGAACATAAACAATATCATATATGTCTCATCTCCTGCATAACATAAACATAAATACTCCTGTGTACACATCTTTCATAATAGTCGCGTAAAGGGGATTCATTACCCTAACGGCGAGAGTACGTGCCACGCAAGGACACGGCCTTTCATAATAGGTCTTAAGGAGACTTGCCTCGCACGGGCAACCGTATTACATCGACGGGGACAACCGTACCGATGACCATCATAATAGTTCACATCGATAGGCTACATATTCATGGTCATACATAGATCACGCCAAAACTGTAAACATATTTAAACACACATTGCACAGGTAATTTTAGAATAACAACCCACCTGGATTCCCAGGTTGAAAAACTCGACAAGCAAAGGGTGTAGGTCGAGGCTTGACTCCTCAATTACCTACATTCGTTGGGACTTGTCTTAGAACCTTATCAAGGTGTAACTTATACTTGCTAGTCTTATACATAAATATAAACTTTGAAAACTAGCTCGCTTGGCTTCGCCTTGCTCGCATTCTTTGAAAACGTTTTATGTTTAAGTCTTTTCGGTTGTTGGATATCTTGGCTTGCTTAACTTCTAGCTCTAAGGACATTTAAACATCAAACATATTACATGAATCAAGAAATAAATCACTTAGGTCATATAATCGAGCATTTCGATGGTACATGCCATTTTCGAAATCAAACTAATGATTTTGCAAAATATGATATGCGCAGCGATTTTCAAATGATCACAACTAGCAGCACATAAGTCGAAATAACATGAAACCAGTGGCATGTGATTCCTAAGACATAGATCTAAAACTCTCAAGAACAACTCAGAATCATACGAGGTCATTATCCACATGATAAATCAACAAACATTCACATAAAGGTGCAGTAAATAAAAAAAAAACATTCAAACAGGATGACAGTATTTTGAGGATAACTCGAGCTACGTCATGATAAAAATATGAATCTGGTACTCATAGAAAGGTAAGAAATTAAGCTATAATTGTTGTGAAGACAACTTTAGCAAATTCTGACATTGCCACAAAGATAAATCAACAAGAACACAAAACATAATTGCAGTCCGGAAAGGGAAATGGACAACTTACAGCACTTCAGTAATTTCATGATAACAGGAGCTACAAACATGATATTACTGAAATTCAAAAACCCTAAGGTAGTCAACTCAATTTCCTACAGCTTTTCTGAAGACTACACTGCCAAATAACAACATTATCAATGAGTTTAACTGCAAAACATTTAGTTCATAGAAACAGTCAGAGAACAACTTTTCGAATATACAACACCTTAATAAAATGGCAACAACTCAAGCTACACAACTCCAATTCATACAAACTCAAAACCTACAGAATCTAAATAAGAAAATCTACAAATTTCATGAATATCAGTTTTACATATAATCACGTTTAAGGCATCATTTCAGACATACATTTCATGCATTCACACAGCCACTGTTTCAAAATTCTGGGCATAGATCCAACTTAGAAAAATCATATAAAATCAACCAAAACTCCAAATTGCATAATTCCAATTTGAGCAGGCAGATTACAACATATAAAACATTTTTCATTAAGAACACATTTCCATCCAGGCACATTAAGGCCATCTAAAACAGCCATGAACTAAGGTCAAGATTTCTGTCTAAGTTTATTAAAAACTGCATGTTTGTCTAACTTTGAAAATTCATATAAAATTTATTTCAACTCCAAATCACAAAATTCCAAAACTCACTGAAACTTAACTCAAAGCACTACAAAACTCATGAAGGACACTTACCCAAGAAACATCTTCTTGGTCGACAAAAACAGAGCACAAGCTGAGGCTCGCAAATTGAATTTTCATGCCTTCAACAACTCAAAACGATCACACAACAACATAGCCTCGAAATCACGTAATTGACACGTTAAGCAAGCCTCGATATCACTACTTTAAGACTTAAACACTAGGTGGATCATAAAACACGTTGTCCGAGGTCCAACTCGGTCTAATTAAAAACGAAAGAAAATAAAATCTTATGATTCGATTGAATTATTACGTATCTTGCTATGATAATACATGACAATTCACATTAATATTAAACCAACATCATGTATTAGAATAATTAAGCGTCTCATCGCCATGAATCTCAAATCCTACATAATCCTTCAATTTAAACTAAAAAAAAAATAATTGAAGAAGGTCAAGCCATATACCTCCTTCGGGAATAAACGAGAAACAGAGGAAGGAGGGTTCGAATAAAACGGCTCGACGGCAAAAGCTCGTCTCGCGGTGAGGAGCAGCGGCTGACGAGGCTCAACGGGGACTTGCTGGTTGCTGCTAGGGTTTGGCAAGGAGCAGCGAGCGAAGGGCTGTAATGCTCGGAGGACGCTCGCGGAGGTAAAGAACTCGCCGAAACCCGCGAACAGAGATCACGAAGAGGTGCTCACGGCGAGATGGAATTGCTGCTCGCAATGGCTCGCCGGTGTTGCTGCTGTCGCTGCGGAAGAGGGCTCGCCGGAAAAGCTTCGCGGAGGGAGAATAGTCGCCGAGAATTGCAGCGACGTCGGAGGCTAGGTCACCGGCGGGAAGGAGCTTCGCGAGGAGGTTGTGGGCGGAGCATCAGCGCACGGTGGTGGCGCGCCGCTGGTTCCTTGCGCGTGAACAAGGATTACGCCTGGCTCGCCAGGTCTGGGCGCTGCTGTTTCTTGCCGGAGGGTTGTGAGGTTGATGATCTGATTCTTGACGTGAGGAGGCGAGAGAGAGAGAGCGACGGAATTTTCTTTTCTCTGCTGTGAGATGCGATCGCGAGAGAGAGAGGGAGAGAGATATCACTAGGTTTTATTTTCTTTTCCCTCAAGTCACACACACGCACAAGAGAGGGAAAAACCGGGTCGGATTTTGGGCTGGAGAGAACGGGTTCGCTCGGTTTAAGAAGCTCGGGCCGGTTCTCTCGGGCTTAACATTAGGCTCGGTCTCCCAGGTTCAACTTAACCGATAATTATATTAATTCGGTTCGGCTCGACAATTTTAAAAAAAAATTGGATATTATTTATATAAATAATACACACATTAATTATTTAATAATAAGCATCTAGGCATTTAATAAATAATAATAATATTAATAGCAAACAATAAATAATAATAATTATAATAACAATAATAGATAATAATACTAAATAATCCCAAATTTATTCATAAATAAACGGCTAGATCCGTCTCACGCGATTAAACCGAAATCGCCGAACGATGAACATTTTTCAATAAAACGATCGAGTATTCCAACCTTATATTTAATTCGACATCGCGATTAATAAAATAAAAATAACCTTATAAATAATTTTCAATAATTAGAATATTCCAAGAAATTCTATAAATCGAACGGGGCGCTACAGCCGACTACATATGCCAATACATTGTCTTATAGCACGCATCAAATAATTAGGTCTAAATTATTTACTTAGTCAGTATAAAATAATTTTATCCTCCTGTGGGTTGTTCAATACATCCTAGATGTACTAGTGCAATCCATTAGTTTAAAATCAACTGATTCTAATAGTCACACTACAGTCTTTCACAATCAGAGAGTTCAATTCTCGTCTAGACTGTGAACTATCATTTATATTTTACAAGGAATCGTTAATATGATCCTACTGTTCCAGACTCGGAACCATATTATCCACAATGTAAAATAAATGAACAATGTCTGTATAAATAAATTAACTGCAAACATTTACTCAACTAAAACGTGAATTCTCATTCAAAATGGTATTGTCAGAAACTGAAAATTAAGTTTTTACAGTATACCCCAACAAATACTATTGTAATGATTATTTTCTATTGATTTATTGTGTATGGATATGTGATATAATTGAATCTATATATATATAATTGCTGGCTAATCCTATTTAATAAAACATTTAATAAAAACATTTCAGATTCCCGCCAATTGACGTTACAGGTGATGTATTTATAAACCTTCTGTTTTTAAGAAACGCAAACCTTATTATTTGCTCCATCATGCATATGATTTATTATGATTAGCAGTTACAATCACGGTTTCCATAGTAAAATAATAATTAGCAGTTTTCTTATTATTTTTTATTTTGCTCGCTGAAAGAAAACAACACATACAAATAATTAGTACAACACATACAAATAATTACAATTTAATAATAAATTAATTAACCAACACAAAAAATTAATTAAAAAAATTACAAATACATTCTTAATTGAACACACTTAATCTTCGATTAGACCTCTTAATGTCTGTTACAAAATATGGAGAACAATGGAAAAATAAGTGGCGGCAATATGAATTTTAAACTTAATGAAATGAAATTCAAAAGAATTTAAAATTGGGCGGGTAATCTAATTCTAGATCAAACTCAAATGAAAATTTAAAGCAACAAAATGAGCGTATGAAATATTCTTTGTGGTTGGATAGTTGGTTAATGAGAACCAAATTTCAGAAAGGAAAAAGAGAGGGATCCGGAAATTACAAATACAATTGAGTGATATTTGCACGATTTATTATCAAAAAATATTTTATATTAAATGTGCCAAATGATTTTGACCATACTAAAACCATATATATAGGTCCACAATTTATTCACAATTCACTTAACCATCCAAACAAAAACATTCTTGCTCCTACGTTTAAGAAAAATCAGAAATGGCATCAATTTTTAACAATTTGACCTTCCTGTCAAAAAACAAGAATAAGACAGCCAGGCTCCGTTTGGTCAGAACCTACCCGCGCTTTTACCAGTCGAACAAAGCAAAACTAAGCGGTCATGAATATGTTTTTCATGATGTGAAGGTATAATGTTTTCATACTTCTCTAATATTCAATTATTTTAACTCAGCATTTTTACAGCCATTGTGTTTGACAATCTTCCCTAATTTGGTTTTTTTAGGGCCAGCGTATACACGGCTGGACACCCGGTTGCTTATTGGAAAAGTTTACAGAATTCAAACTTCTTGAAGGGAATGTGTATGACATCACAAACTTTGCACTTGTGGAAGACAAAAGTGCATTCAAAATAACCAAATCCAGTCACAAGCTGATTTTCTACAAACAAACTTACATGCATGAGATTGTTGATGACGAGTATCCGAGGATGATGTTCGAATTCAAGCAATTCAGCGAGCTAACCGACCCCGAAAAAATTTGACCCATGCGAACCTTTTGGTATTCTTTATTTTTTACATAATGCAAATTTTCGTAATCTTATTTCAATTACTAATTTTTTTTTTTTGTAGACATTATTGGCCGTATTGTTTTGTTTCAAAACATACGTACAAGAAATCAAAAGAGATATGTTGACATTGTGCTTCAGGATGTTGAGTAAGTTTTGTACACATACAACTTTTGTTTTATTTTAATTTGAGCATTATTTCCTTTCTTAAATTAATTGTTTATTTTTTGTACAATGTAGAGGTTGCCACCAAACTTGCACCCTATGGGAATCATATGCGGAAAAACTGATAGCCTCCTACAAAAAGTCGGATCCAACGGAATTGAAAATACTCATAATCCAACTCTGCCATGCAAAGTCATTTGATGATGGTATATATTATTTGACCTAATTGCTCTTATTAATAGTTTACCTGTATTTTATAATTTTTAATAGTCCTAAAAACTTTTTTTTTTTGTAGGATCTGTTTTGGTTTCCAACATTTACGATGCTACAAAATTGATAATCTCGAATGATGTTCCCGAGATTATTGATTTCAAGCAAAAGTATATATCCTAAGCCAAATATACCTAATTGTTATTATGTGATACTATATTTGATCAAATAAAAAACTGATTAAATTAAATTTTTATTTCACTAGGTACAATTCCCACACAAGGCCAAGGGACTCTTCATTCCCTTATGTTAGGTCGTTCATGTCTAGCATTAATGACGACTTGCAATCCGGAGATGCTCCTATAATAAGTGTTTCGGACTTTTGTGCGTCTATAGAGGTATCAATTAAATTTTTTAAATTCAATCATAATAATAACAGTAATTTATTAACGTTTTGTAATAATCTTTTAAGTGTTGTCACATAATGATTTACTTTTAATTTTTCTGTTCAGGAAAAAGGTTTTTGGATTTGTGGCCACATTATTGATATTTGGAGAGACTGGTTTTTCAATTCTTGCCCCAACTGCATTTGAAAAGTCGAGCCCAAAGAAGAGAAATTCTGGTGCAACAATTGCAAATACAACATTCCCTTTGCAATTCTTAGGTACAAGTTGCATATTTCGGTTGGGGACAACACCGGAATGGCTCGACTTTTGTGCTGGGACAAAGTTGCTCGAGAGTTGGTTGGAAAACCATGTGATGCTGTTCGTAGTGAAATGATGGAGGCATGTTTAATTTTTATTGAATTTTGCTCAAATGTTTTATTTGGAGTATTTGCAAAATTATAATTTAACTCAAAATTTATTGTGCAGGACAATGATGGCTCATATCTACCACTTGACCTTGAACTTTTAACACACAAATTGGTATTGTTCAAGGTTTCAAAGAAGAAGGATCAATTTGGAGAATACAATGGTCCTTATACTGTTTCTCGATTAACAGCCGATCATATTTTGGTCAACAGATTTGGTTCTTTGGCCAACATGTCTCAGGTTGGCCTGATTTTATCAACAAAAAAAAGTTCTTCAATGTATAATAGATCTATTCCATTTTTATTATATAATAATCTATATTAATATATTTTTTAATATGTAGGACTCAAATGCTGAAGACATGTACAGCCCAATCAGGGTTGTGAAAGCTGAAGAAGTATACATCCCAATCATGGCTGTAAATTCTGTAGAAGTGAACAGCCCAATAAGGGCTGTGAAGGATGAAGAGAACAGCCCAATAAGGGCTGTAAAGGCTGAAGTGAACAGCCCAATCGAGGCTGTGAAGGGCTGCAAAGAGGATGTAAAGAAGAGAGAGCAGACTGGGTCAGGCTATAATGAAGTGATGATGGGGAAGAAGAAAATAAAGATTGAACAACTCTGAGTGCAGGACATGAAGGATTGATGTTTTTTAGAAATAAATTAGTAGAGTGCTTATTTTTCGAGTTTGTTTTAAGATTGAAATGTTCCCAATAACAATTGTTTGAATCTGAATGCAATCTCTCTTTATTATATGAAAGAATAAAGTTTCTTACATGTAATGAATTTATATATTTCTTTGCTCAATATTGATAAACTACTTCAAACTTTTACGATTTATCAGGAAAACATAAACACTCAGGACATAACAGAACATAAAAACTTAGAAAAGAACTTAATAGAACCATAGATCTGACCATTTTAATATAAAAAAAATGTAATATTAACTAAATGCATAAATGAGGAAAACAGAATAAAAAATTACTGATTACTGATTACTATGGTTATTAAATAATCCACCTATCTCAGTTATATATAACATTACTGATTACTATGGCTATTAAATAATCTACCTATCTCAGTTATATATATAGAGAGAGTACATTACTGATTATTACTGATTACTGATTAAAAAACAGAATAAAAAATTAAACATTACATTACTGATTTCCCTCCTAAACCAATAATTCATATTTCAGTTAAAAATAGTTCCTATCTCATTATGATTCTGAATAAACTTATCTCAATATTGATTCTTTACAAGGCAAAGATACACTATATAAACCCCAACAATAGAGTACAACACATGTTATGATCACATATTATAAACAACCATCAAATAATGACTGTGACAACACATGTTATGATCAAATATTGTAAACAACCATTAAATAATTACGGTTACAGCACATGTTGTGATCAATTATTGCAAACACTGCATGCTATTATAAACAATAGATTACAGCTACTGAAAAATCAAATATTATAAACAACCATTTCAAACAATATTTTATAATCTGAAACTTGATTAAATACTTAAAAAATAAATATTTTTTAAAAAAAAACTTTTCAGCCAATAGTTTATATTCTGCAATTTATTTACACTTTTGTAACCGCATATGTGCATTTATTCCCTTCATTAAAATTGAATAAAAGAGTCAACAAATTTTCCCAATCACACTCAATACACCAATCAATTAATTTATTACAAAAATAATGTTACCACTGACATATCAACTTTGCCATAATGAAGATTTGAAATTTATTATAGCATTAAATATATTGACATATATAATCTCTTATTACTACTATATAAACATGAAAACCTATGTCATTTTGAATATACATCAAAACAAACACATCTACAGTGGCTCATAAACATAAAAAAACCATATATTCATTTCTGTCATCTCAAAATGAAGAGGTTGACATGCTCACAAACAATTGGCACGAAAAGACAGAGGCCCGAATCCATGGAACATACGTAGAAGTGTACTACACAAGATACATGCTCAATTTTCGGAAAACCAGTAGGAAATCAAATCATTGGCAACACAACAAATCAATCATTCAACAGACGCAGATGCATTCAATCATTCAACAGACACACAGGAGTATTCAACAGACACACAGGAGTACTACACAGGGTACATGCTACATATACAATCACTTTTCATGACTTGACAAAGTTTAGATGATTGTACCTGTGTAGTGCTTTGCTAGAGTAGTGATCCTCGCAAACAGCCTCATTCATCATTTGTTTTCTTTATCTTACCTAAACATATAACAAATTTTAATTGTTAGGTACATCACAATAATGGAAATGAATAGAAAATTTGTGGTACAGAGAGAATAATACTTATCTGTCCATAGTTTTGCCTCTGTTGGCCTATTCTACGTGCTCCTGTAAAGAAAATAATGTGTAAATCATTTTCACAACAAAGCAAAATGCTTATACAGATACATGCTGAGCTTTTTACCTTTTTGTTGGGATATCAATAGCCTTTGGTCATTCTTCGCCAATCTGAGGACAAACAATAGACTTAATCAACTTGAAAAAAAACAGTTTGTAATATATCAGATCATTGTGATATACATACCTGCTCACGTTTATCAAAGGTTGTACTCGGTGCTTCTCGGGATTTGAACAGTTTAGTAGTTCGGCCTTATGTAAAAACAACGAAAAAAACGAAATCATAGTTCGGCCTAATTTGTCCAGTCAAGAACAACAAAACGAAAAAAAAAAAAAATTCTCAGTTTTTTGTAAATATATAATATCAAAAATAATATCAAAAAAAAAATTTAACAGAAATCCAACCGAAATATAGCCCCGTCTTAATGAAACTTGAATTTGTTTGTAAATATATAATATCAAAAATAAAAAAAAATAATTATTTATGAAAAATGTTCAAAAAAAAGTTAATTAATACGGATCTGTATAGATCGATTACAGATCTGTATAGATCGATTATGTAATCAGGATTTTAATACAAAAAAGTTCAAAAAAATAAAAAAAATTACAAAAACATTGTAGATCTATTACAGATCTGTATAGATCTATTGTGTAATCGGGATTTTAATTGAAATTTTTTTAAAAACAATAAAAAAAATTACAAAAAATTTTGTAGATCTACAAAGATCTATCATTTAATCGCCGATTTCTACCGTAATACAATGAATTAGTAAATCGGTGTTGTGAAATCGGGACGATTTCACTTTGTCGTCTCCCTTTTGATTCGAAAAAAATAAATCTCACGTATTTTTTTCAGTATCGGCTTCAAAAACAAAATTTTTTCGCCGGTGAAACACCGGTTTTGGCGAAATTATCGCCGAAAATAGGTCGATGTATTTCAGTAGAGAGATAAATGAGAGAGAGAATTGGAGACAAAAAAGGAGAGAGGCGAAAACAATGGCAATAACAATGCAGGTTTAGGGTTCAAGATATTTTTAAAAGCGTGTAAAGACACGCGTCTCACTATCTGAGACGTAAATAAGAGAACATGTAAGACGTAAATAAGACACGCGTCCCCAATGGCCATATTTATTGGCTCATGACATGATTTGGGCTCGGAATTGGGCTGGGCTGGACAAAAAATAAGAGAACATGTGAGTGTTTTTAAAGCCCAAACATAGTTAGTTAATAGCAACTAATCTCATAGTTAGTTAATAGCAACTATTTCTTGATTTATTTTACTTAAAAAAAACTAATCTCATAAGTTAATTTTGTTACTTTTGCTACTTTTAATATTCTAATTCGTTATTTTTTCCTTATTTTTTAATAAATACGAAACCTAATTAAAATTACTTAATCATATCAAATTTACTTTTTGCAAAAATATAATTATATAAATATAACTTACGTATATTACTTTATAATTATTTATATAAAATTATTTTATCAAATTAATAGTGCCAAATATGTTTTTTCAAAATCAATCCGCTAATTTTTTCAAACAATATTTTACGGAACCGCTAAAACTAATTGTTGGTCAAAACAGCTAAAACAATCCGCGGGTCAAAACAGCTATCACAATCCGCGGGTAGAAACAAGTAACAGCTAATAGCTAACCGCTGACTACCAAACAAGACCATTATCTAAACAAGTAAAACTATTAAATGGATGTATTTATATATATAGTAATCATTACAACAACTTATCCCAAAAACACATCATTCAAATAAATGATGTATTTATTCTTTTTTGTTTAGTATATTGACCATTAATTAATTTTTCATTTTAGGTTTTCAATTCGCAAATTCTCAACGTTCCTCTCAGAATAGTTCCATAACTCAACTCACGAATACATCTTGGAGCGGTTTAGTACCTTTCGTTGATCTTACAATGGACGTCGAACAAAATGGTACCCCTACAACATTGGGTAACCATGTCGGCAATGGTAATTCTAAATTAGTTTCCAATTTATTTAACTTATATATTATTAATAAAAGAAAACAATTTTTATTGGATCACGTATATTTAAGTGATACTTTTGTTTTTGTTCTTTTTTAATAATAATCCATTTGTGTGCAGATTCATCATTAAACTTACCACCTCGGAAGAACGTACGCGGACGTCCGAGGCGCACATTACCTCCCCCACAAATGGTAATTATAGTTTTGTTATCAATTTGTCTAAATTAATTATTTTTACCAAGAAAAAAAAATCACTTGAAAATATGTATATGGTATTTTTTAAATAATAATACAATGTTTTATATTGTTTCATCGTTAAACTTGCCAGCTCAGAAGAATGTAGGCGGGCGTCCGAGGAACGTATTTCCTCAAATGCCCATTAATACTAGAGGTTCATCGTCATTGGCCAGTTCCTCGCACTCATTCATCAGTACTGGTAATTATTTTACTTATGTATTTAAAAAAAAAATTCATATTTTATCTTTCAAATTCTTTTACCTTTGTTTAGAGCATGGTATATAAAACGATTGATAAATTGTTAATATATTTGAATATTACAATTGCGCAGAATATTGGGATATTGGCGATGCATCGTTCCGTTGCCTTCACTGTGGTGCCAAATTTTGGTATTCCGAGCGACTGGGCAAGCCATCTAAACCTAAGGTCCCTAAGTATTCTGGGTGCTGCAACAACGGATTCATCGAACTTCCACCCGTTTACACTCCGCCCCCTTTTCTGCGTGATCTTATTTTTGGGACGGGTCCTCAGAGCAAGCACTTATATATATATATATATATATATATATATATATATATATATATATATATATATATATATATATATATATATATATATATATATATATATATATATATATATATATATATATATATATATATATATATATATATATATATATATATATATATATATATATATATATATATATATATATAATTTGTTATTTATGTCAGAAGATGTTCTGACAGAAATAATCTAGATGAGGATGTAGTTCGTGGTTTAAAAGATCTACTCGATCATTACAATGTTTTGGTCAAGTCGTTCAGGATGGCGCGAGAGACCGTTAACCAGGACCAGCAAATTGAACTTAAGATGCGTCTTATCGGTAGAAGGAACAAGGATGGTCGGCGTTATAATTTACCCTCCACTTCTGAAGTTGCCGCCTTAGTTGCTGGGGATTTCGATGATGCT